TGGTTATAATCTTACTTCTTTGGCAATTTTCTTTGTATTATTTCGTTTTCTTCCAGAAGTTTTATTCAACTTTATCTTTTTCTACAATTCAAATTGATTAGTATAGAAATATTTTTTATTTGCAATTGATCTTTTACCTCGGGGGTTTCTTCTTCACTAGTAGTTGATGATTCGCTTTCAGTACATCCTTCAGATCCTGTATCAGAATCTTCTGATTCATTCTCTGGATTTATATAAAAATAAAAATTAAACATATATTCTCTTTTAAAAGATTATGATTATGTATTAAGAAACAAACCAGGTTTAAATTCATCCTCAGAATCTCCAGATTCTTCATCAGGAATAATCAATCTTCGTTTCTTTGGCCGTATTGGCTCGCTTTCTTCCTCCTCCTCTTCTTCCTTTTTTTTATCATCATCATCATCATCTTTAAAGACTCTTTTCCTATCTTTAACATCTTTATTCTCTTTTCCCTTGCTCGGAGTCTTTGCTATGTACAATTTGAATAACGCATTATTTATGCGACATTTATTCGATAGTTTAAGAGATACAACACATTTACACTTTATCAAAGCAAAATGCAATATTTTAATAAAATATACGATATTTTCATAAAGCATACTCTACTAAATTTCTAATTTTAATTTTACGTGACATAACAATACATGCGGCCCAGAATCACACAAAATGTGTTTTCTATCGCATGTTCTATTGTTACATCAGATTAATTATTCACTATAGTTCTATACCTTTATTCCGTTGTTCCCTTGTCCTTTTCGGTGTGCTAGATTTTTCGTCAGGTGGTTTCTTATTATTTAATTGTTTAGGAGTTGTAGGAGTTTTAGGAGTTTTAGGAGAATTAAAATAATTGTACAGTGTGTTCACTTTAGACATAATGTTACAACAATTGTGTGATAAATTTCTGTACTTCTTTCGCACCCTTTTGTTACCGTCAATGAGAGATCAAAATCCCGGCAAAACTTATATGTTTTTCGAAACTTGCTAAAATACGACTCTGTGTTCTTAAATTACTGCATGGATCTAGAAAGATTAAAATCGTATTTTTCAGTCTAACAGGGCATTTTAATTTATATAAAATGTGTATATTCTTTTGAAACAATAATATCTAAATATCTAAATGAATATATATATTTATCAATGATATATCGGTATCAATGATTAAAGTATTCGAATGTTTAATATTTCATTTTACTTTTAAAATTTGTTTCGCTAGGGAATTTTTTGGATTTTTAGTTGTCACTAGTTTCCTTAGTCAGCGATTCTCAACCTGGGGTACATGTACCCCTTGGGGGTACGCGAATAGATTTTTAGGGGTACGTGTAATACCAAGACTACAATCATCTCATTAATTGTTTTCATTAAAGTTCTTATTAGATGAGATTAAATTAGATAAGAAAAATGTAATTTTATAAAATTGGATAACATAAATGTATATAATTTAAATATAAAGTTTCTAATATATATAGTATAATATATAGTGTGTGTGTGTATATATGTTTTATTTTATTTCTATTGTTATATTATAGTTTTATCTGTCAAAGGATACGCCATTTTCATACACATATTCTAGGATGCATAAAACACGGAGAGTTGCTGCTCTTAATGATAACTTCACCTCAGGAAAACAATAATGGCGTATTCAGTGAACGTCTCTGTAGAAGCACCGATCGAGAATCAGATTCAGGAAATCACATACGATGGACAAGAAATTTACCAAGCGTACGTAGTTTGCTTTTCTAGTAATTAGCAAAATTAAATGAAAGATTGGTTGTAAATAGAATCGGTAGTGATAAAAATGATTCTATTGTATGCTCTACCTAACCTCAGAGTAAAAATAACATATTACTTATATTTTATAACATAACATACATTAAAGTAATTAATTGTAACAATCTGTTATCTTTCTAGACCTCTTACATTGTCTGAGAACTTGGCAAAAATCGCCCAAAAGATTGATTTTAGTAAAACCAATGGTGAAGATATTAAGAAAGAATCTGAAAGTGGAGAAAAGGGTGAAGAAGACACAAAAGACTCGGCTTCTTTTCAATCATCTTTATGGCCATGGGATAGTGTCAGAAACAAATTAAGGTTGAATATTGTTGAATATTTTTTTGAATGTTCTTTCGTCAGTGTGAAAGACTGTGATAAATTTATTTACAGAAATGCATTGACAGAGGTATGTGTATTAGCCGATGTTCTTGCAATAGCAAAGGAGAAACATTATATGGTTCTTGATCCTGTGCCACAAGAACCAGCAGAAGTAAAGCCTATGATTCAAGTGTACGCTAGAAAGAAAGCATTAGCTGGAGCTGCATCTGTTATTATGATGGGTGCTGATAGATTAAAGAACTGTCAGAATGAATTAGCTAGAAATAGATCGACTCCAGATTTTCATATTGAATTATTAAGATTGAGACAAAATTGGCGTTTAAAGAAAGTTTCCAATTCAATCATTGGTGATCTTAGTTATAGAACAGGTTTGTAATTATCTTTTGTGTATATAAATTATCATTTGAAAGTTTACTCTATTATATTAATGGTATATTTATAGCTGGATCTAAATTCCCTCAGACTGGAATGTTCGAAGTTACAAAAGCAGAAGAAGAAGAAAAAAGTAGTACAAGTCCTCCTGCATCTCCAAGTGCTGGTAATAATGTGTCAGGTCAGGCTCATCCTCCAAATTCCAAGGCTTCTGCTCTGAGAGTTACTATCCCCAGCGAATTACAGGGTGTTGCTTATATAGAAGTATTATGCCAAAAAGGTAAGTGCGCGTATATCGCAACGGATAATATATATTTATTAGTCTAGATATAATATATATTCATTAACGTATTTATATACTATTATGTTGATGGGGAAAATTTGGTTTCTGTTTATAGATCAAGAAGATTTATGCAGTGCAAATATTAGTTTACTTAATAATAGTGCACACAGTTCCAACGCAGACATGCACTGGCAGCAAAAATTGGAAGCTGCACAAAATGTTCTTTTTTGTAAAGAATTGTTCAGTCAATTAGCGAGAGAAGCAGTACATTTACGTGCGCCTATACCTCACATGGTTGTTGGCAATCAAATTATGGCAACAGTAATTTTTTTTTCTTTCGATTATCATATATGATATGCATTTATTTACAGTACATTAAGTAAGATTTTATAACTTTAGGTATTGCCTGGAATTCAATTAATTATAGGACTCTGTCACAGTACGGGAAATGACAAAAAACCAACCGCTCCTCCTCCTCATAAAAGTGATCATGATCACGTATTAGAACATTCTTTGCATCAGCTTTTACGCGAAGTTCATCACAAAAATACGCATCATCCGTTTCCACATCCTTCTTCAGGACCTCTTGGACCCAGTAAAAGAAGATGTTTAGCTGGTCCAACCGCCGCAGATAGATATGAACTTTTAGAAATGACAAAAAGTCAAACTCTCTTAGAACAAATTATTCAACAAGCTCAACATTACTTTATGCGATTACGTACTGAGTACGTTTTAGATACAATAGCAAAAGAAGTAAAAGATCCTTTGATTGTTTCTCATTGGAACGCGTTGAACTCTCCTACTCAATCTTGTGTAAAGATTAATATTTTAACACACGGATACGATACAGTATGTCGAACGTCGCTTGTTGTTCATATAGGAGAAAAGTCTTTGAAATGTGTCTGCCGAGATGGTAGAGTGATGCATATGAGTTATGAACCTCAAGAATTACGGGACCTGATATTTTGTCAGGTAACCACATTTTGTCTTAATGTTTATCGAATATGTGTATAATTGCTTTTTATATTATTGTAGATTTATCAGCACCAAATAACAGCAGTACAAGCATTAGCTAAATGTATGGGATGGCAATTTTTAGCCAATAGTTCGCATCTTGGTTTAGGCGCAGTGGAACCTTTAGGAAATGCTAGCAGTTGTATTTTAGCTTCACCAATAGGCGATAGGTATCTATTAATTTCTTTCTGTCTTAATAGAAAGCCATGTATATGTTATATTTAAAATAATTATTGGGATTTTAGGATGATAGCTGTTAGATGTGAACCACAAACGGGAGTACAAGTTGCGATAGCTCATTCCCCTAGGAAAGATTTTTTTCCTGGACAATTAGTAAGAGAAAGGAAATGGGAAAATTTGGGTGGTTCTTTCAAAGAAGTTCGGTGGGACAAAATGGAGGGGAAGAATTTTTTAAACAAAATGGAATTACTTATGGCTTCTTTAACAAGCTCGTAAATCAATCAACGACTGATTAGGAATTCAATTGTTTCACAGGGTGAAAAAACGTGATCACACATTCAGATTTTATCTTGTATCTTTCTACTGTATAATTGAATAATAGATGAATTTTTTCGAGTGATATTTCGTGATTCTGAAATCTGTGATTCACTTTACTTTCCAAATTTTTTTTTGTTTCAATAAAAAATTGATTAAAATGTCGACTCTGTTTTCTTTTTGTTACCCTGAATGAACCAAGATATTTCATCCTGTGGTATTTGTTATTAAGGATTATAATTAAATGTATCTCTAATTGTACAAAAATGGTTTTTATTTGAATGATATATGAAATGTAATATGAATCGAGTAATAAACCATAAAATAGTAAGTGAAACACACAATGCCAAATATACAGATGTATATTGAACACCTAAATTACAATTATTAATGGATCTTATATACATACAAAAACTACTGAACAATTCCTTACATATTATCATCATTTGTATAATCTGTTTTGAATAGTTATGTTTTTAAATGTAAGGCGTGAATTGATGCATAAATTTATCTCTTTTACTCTGTCCATTTGATAGAATACGTACATTATATATGGATACATACATTCTTACATATGTACACTCACACTCATTTTAAACTTTGCCTTTTCTTTTTTCTTTGTAATACAAAGAGAATATCGTACAGTTCAGTATGATTAAATTTTAGATCGAAACATTATCACGTCTTGGTTATACAATTGTTTCGATAGGTTAAGGGACGGACTAGCAGCTTGACCACAAAATTCTGTGCTAGAACGTATTACCATTTAATACAACTTTTTACGAAAAAACATTACACTTGAAAGACAAATAATACTGGTACATTTAATAGATGTTTTATGCAGTTTGGTCAAGTGTAAAAGTTTATCAAGTAAGGTTTATGTTGGATCTTTACGAATATATTCTTGATCATTATAGGCTTGCTTATTAATATCAAAAAACAAGATATGGTTTGTTAATTTAACATCATATCTTTTTACACACAGTGTAAAATCAGAGCAATGATTAATCTCCTCATAATCTAATGGCTAAGGAAAAAAACTTCATCATTCTGTGATGTTCAATCGGGTCAAACACAACTATGTATATTTAACTTTCTTATGAAAGCTCTTCTCTTTTACTGTCTCGAAAAACATTGAACTACATTTTGGGGTCTGCCGCCTGCAACTTTGAATGCAAGTGCAGTTGTTATCATAAGAACAACATAAGCGGATAAAGTGGTAGCTACATAAGCTTGATATACATTTAACAAGGTCATACATGATACAAACAAGTGTGAGCCAACAACCCAAATTACTTGTCCCCAATTTTTTCTATCAAGGGCAGAAAAAAATACAACACCCCAAAATGTATGTAACAAAATAAAGCAAAGAGTTGTAGCCGCTGATATTATAAAAAAGTATTCTGTGCCTTGTCGAAGTCCCATTGTTCCAGGTCCAACAGCATCTGCTAAAACATTGACTAGTGCAAAGACACCACTCATAAAACCAAAACCTAAACCACACACATATGCGAACACATGTCTGCTGTCTGCTACATGTGTTGTTGTTACTTTGTCTAATCCTCTCTCAGCTTTCCTGAGTACCCAGTACAAAAGATACCTGTATAAAAATAACAAGAATATCAAAATAAATAATCTTTCAAAGCTTTCAAACGAAAGAAACATATGCAAAATATTGTGTTTCAACAAAGAATATAAATTCCTATATAATGATATTTAATCACCTGAATGCCTCTTGAAATAATACGGAAAATATAAGTCCAAACGCGAGGTGATTTTGTAGTGGCACCACAGCATACCAGAGCATCGACGACAATAATAAAGAAATTAACCAAAAGAAGGCACTGGCTATCAGTATGATGATCCTAATGGGTTCGGCTGCGACAGTGAATGTAAACATGGCCAACGGCGGGCCAAATGCCAAAAAGGCACAACCAAAAAAATCCATAACTGTCATTTTTGCCACAAAATAGTATCAGATCACTTTTGATGTTTCTTTATATCACGCTGATCGGATCTCTTCGAAATGCTAAATATTCATAACCTTATGTAGCCCTCGCGCGGCTCGGTCAGTACTTCTTGAAGGGCACATTTATTTCCTCTGTTGATTGTAGAAATATAGAAAATGCGATAATAATGGAGTCGGAAACTAATGAATCACTATAATGATGAAATCACTTGGCACACTCTCTACCGAATCTTTCTGAAAAAATGTAAACTCGATATATAT